CTGAAGTTACTCTGAAGTTACTCTGAAGTTACTCTGAAGTCACTCTGAAGTTAATTCACTCTAAAGTTAATCTGAAGTTACTCTGAAGTTACTCTGAAGTCACTGTGAAGTTAAGTCACTCTAAAGTTACTCTGAAGTTAAATCACTCTAAAGTTACTCTGAAGTTAAATCACTCTAAAGTTACTCTGAAGTTAATCTGAAGTCACTCTGAAGTTACTCTGAAGTCACTCTGAAGTCACTCTGAAGTTAAGTCACTCTAAAGTTACTCTGAAGTTACTCTGAAGTCACTCTGAAGTTAAATCACTCTAAAATTACTCTGAAATTAATCTGAAGTCACTCTGAAGTCACTCTGAAGTTAAATCACTCTAAAGTTACTCTGAAATTAATATGAAGTCACTCTGAAGTTACTCTGAAGTTAAATCACTCTAAAGTTACTCTGAAGTTACTCTGAAGTTACTTTGAAGTTACTCTGAAGTTACTTTGAAGTTACTCTGAAGTTACTCTGAAGTTACTCTGAAGTTACTCTGAAGTTACTCTGAAGTTACTCTGAAGTCACTCTGAAGTCAATCTGAAGTTACTCTGAAGTTACTCTGTAGTCACTCTGAAGTCACTCTGAAGTTACTCTGAAGTTACTCTGAAGTCACTCTGAAGTCACTCTGAAGTTACTCTGAAGTTCATCTGAAGTTAATCTGAAGTTACTCTGAAGTCACTCTGAAGTTAAGTCACTCTAAAGTTACTCTGAAGTTACTCTGAAGTTAATCTGAAGTTACTCTGAAGTCACTCTAAAGTTACTCTGAAGTTACTCTGAAGTTACTCTGAAGTCACTCTGAAGTTAAATCACTCTAAAGTTACTCTGAAGTTACTCTGAAGTCACTCTGAAGTCACTCTGAAGTTACTCTGAAGTCACTCTGAAGTCACTCTGAAGTTACTCTGAAGTTACTCTGAAGTCACTCTGAAGTCACTCTGAAGTTACTCTGAAGTTACTCTGAAGTCACTCTGAAGTCACTCTGAAGTTACTCTGAAGTTAATCTGAAGTTAATCTGAAGTTAATCTGAAGTTAATCTGAAGTTACTCTGAAGTCACTCTGAAGTTACTCTGAAGAGTAACCAGAGAGAGATCAAAGAGAGAGACCAGAGAGAGACCAGAGAGAGAGACCAGAGAGAGAGACCAGAGACTGAGAGACCAGAGAGAGACCAGAGAGAGAGACCAGAGAGAGACCAGAGAGAGACCAGAGAGAGACCAGAGAGAGAGAACAGAGAGAGACCAGAGAGAGAGCAGAGAGAGAGCAGAGAGAGACTAGAGATAGACCAGAGAGAAAGACCAGAGAGAGACCAGAGAGAGAGACCAGAGAGAGACCAGAGAGGTGAACCATGTAACAGTGAGGGACCATTGTACTATATAAATGCTTCAGTCATGGTAGCATAATAAAAACAAAAGGCTCTTCATGGTCACATCAAAACCATGTGTTTATTGCTTGTTGGAGCCACCAGTGGCTTTTACAGTCAAACAGTTGAGCCCCAGTTATAGTTTGTTTACAGAGTTTGAAAACAAAAAAATAAAGTATTGTATATAAAATACATATAAAGTTGTAGTAATTAGAGAATGATATACGTTTTGTTCATAGACAGTAGAGAGCCAAATTCTCTCATGGCAACTACATAGCAACCAAAGAGCCAATCAGGAGCAAGGCTGGCCTGTTGGCGCTTATGCTATTCGCTGAAGCCAGATTAGGAGGCGCCTGAGTCGTAAAATATCTGGATTTACAAAGACATTTCAAAATAAAAGCAGCCATATGTATGTGAGACCAGAGAGAGACCAGAGAGAGACCAGAGAGAGACCAGAGAGAGACCAGAGAGAGACCAGAGAGAGACCAGAGAGAGACCAGAGAGAGACCAGAGAGATAGAGAGACCAGAGAGAGACCAGAGAGAGAGACCAGAGAGAGAGAGCAGAGAGAGACCAGAGAGAGAGCAGAGAGACCAGAGAGAGAGAGCAGAGAGAGGTTAGAGAGGGACCAGAGAGAGACCAGAGAGAGACCAGAGAGAGAGAGCAGAGTCTTTTATCCGTAACTTATAGTAATTCCCTTTACCAGAGTGTGTTTGCTCGTCACATGGTCAACATGTAGAACCAGTCAAACCTCTCGTCGTACAAAAAACTACAGTAATTAGTATTTTTTCAATATAAATAACACACAAAATAACACAGCAAAAGGTTTTCACAGAACACGCTTGTGCTTCACGCAAAGCTCTGATATGAACTGCTCCATGTCACAGTTAAAGGAGACCGTCCCTTTAACTGAGTCAAAGGGACTGTCCCTGTGCTGCCGTTTGTACAGTATGGGTACAGTGATAATGATACAAACTCTAGCTGCAGTAGATGTGATAAATGCTCTTATATTCTGTTGGATATGACTCGTATGTGAGAGTCTGCATCAGGAGCAGGTCTGAGGACAGAGCTGCTGTTGTTCCCTTATTTATTTGCTCTAAGCAAGAGGACAATCTCACTTCCTGTTTAGGGCTGCATTATGACCCCCACTTCCTGTTTAGAGCTGCACTATGACCCCCACTTCCTGTTCAAGGCTGCACTATGACCCCCACTTCCTGTTCAAGGCTGCACTATGACCCCCACTTCCTGTTCAGGGCTGCACTATGACCCCCACTTCCTGTTCAGGGCTGCACTATGACCCCCACTTCCTGTTCAGGGCTGCACTATGACCCCCACTTCCTGTTTAGAGCTGCACTATGACCCCCACTTCCTGTTTAGAGCTGCACTATGACCCCCACTTCCTGTTCAGGGCTGCACTATGACCCCCACTTCCTGTTTAGAGCTGCACTATGACCCCCACTTCCTGTTCAGGGCTGCACTATGACCCCCACTTCCTGTTTAGAGCTGCACTATGACCCCCACTTCCTGTTTAGAGCTGCACTATGACCCCCACTTACTGTTCAGGGCTGCACTATGACCCCCACTTCCTGTTTAGAGCTGCACTATGACCCCCACTTCCTGTTCAGGGCTGCACTATGACCCCCACTTCCTGTTCAGGGCTGCACTATGACCCCCACTTCCTGTTCAGGGCTGCACTATGACCCCCACTTCCTGTTTAGGGCTGCACTATGACCCCCACTTCCTGTTTAGAGCTGCACTATGACCCCCACTTCCTGTTTAGGGCTGCACTATGACCCCCACTTCCTGTTCAGGGCTGCACTATGACCCCCACTTCCTGTTCAGAGCTGCACTATGACCCCCACTTCCTGTTTAGGGCTGCACTATGATCCCCACTTCCTGTTTAGAGCTGCACTATGACCCCCACTTCCTGTTCAGGGCTGCACTATGATCCCCACTTCCTGTTTAGAGCTGCACTATGACCCCCACTTCCTGTTTAGGGCTGCACTATGATCCCCACTTCCTGTTTAGGGCTGCACTATGACCCCCACTTCCTGTTCAGGGCTGCACTATGATCCCCACTTCCTGTTTAGAGCTGCACTATGACCCCCACTTCCTGTTCAGGGCTGCACTATGACCCCCACTTCCTGTTTTGTAAGTTCAGCTTTTTACAGCAACAGGCCCTTTCTGCGTGGAGTTTGCATGTTCTCCTCGTGTAAGCATAGCGAGCTTTGGTTTCTCCCCAACACTAAAAACACGTAGTCCTGGAGACGGGCTCTGTTACTACGGCGACCGCTGGAGAGACGGGTCAAATGCAGAGGACACGTTTCCGTACAGGGACAAAACACTAAACTTACATTGTTTATTTTATTATGATTTTCTATTTTGTCCAAAGCCGTGTCCGTGACGTGAGAAGTCGTTAGCAGTCACTTTCATTCTCTCTCTCCTCCTGTTCCTTTAAATTACATCACACTTGTCTTTTGTTGTAAATTCTCTCCTGTTTTGCGACATTACTTTGGAGTTAATTGGTGTAAAGTGGGAGAAAGTCTTAGTAAACTGGTGTTAATGGAACACTTTCATTCTCTCTCTTGTCCTGTGTATACGACACACGTCTCGGTGTAAACTGTCTCTTTCCTCCTGTCTTACATACAGAGCCTTGCAAAAGTGCAAAAGTATTCACCCCCTTTGTTATGAAGCCCATAAAAAGCTCTGGTGCAGCCGACTACCTTCAGAAGTCACATAAACAGTGAAATGATGTCCACCTGTGTGCAGTCTAAGAGTCACATGACCTGTCAGTACATACACACCTGTGTCACATGACCTGTCAGTACATACACACCTTTAAGAGTCACATGACCTGTCAGTACATACACACCTTTAAGAGTCACATGACCTGTCAGTACATACACACCTTTAAGTGTCACATGACCTGTCAGTACATACACACCTTTAAGAGTCACATGACCTGTCAGTACATACACACCTTTAAGTGTCACATTACCTGTCAGTACACACACACCTTTAAGTGTCACATGACCTGTCAGTACATACACACACCTGAAAGGCCCAGAGGCTGCAACACCAAAGCAAGAGGCACCACTGACCAAACACTGCCATGAAGACCAAGGAACTCTCCAAACAATGGCAGAGTCAAAGCCCAGACCTCAGTCCAATAGAACATCTGTGTCAGACTTAAAGATTGCTGTTCACAAGCGCAAACCATCCAACTTGAAGGAGCTGGAGCAGTTTTGCAAGGAGGAATGGGCAAACATCCCAGTGGTGAGATGTGGCAAGCTCATAGAGACTTATGCAAAGCGACTTGGAGCTGTGATTGACTTTAGGGGGGTGAATACATATGCACATGCCAATTTCCAGTTTTTTATTTCTGAAAAGTAGTTTTATGTAAATATTTTCCTCAATTCACTTCACCAACTTAGACTATTGTTTTCTGATCCATCACATGAAATTCAGATTAAAAAAACATTGAACTAAAGGCTGTGATGTAACGTAGTAAAAAGGCAAGGGGGGTGAATACTTTTGCAAGGCACTGTAACTCGGCGTCTCTTGGTGTAAAGTGGGGACCAAAGCCTAGAAGGTGTCGTCGGGGTCTCTGCGGGACATGATGAGCTGCCTGCGGGGGCCGGACAGGTGCGGGACGCTGACCGCGGCCTCCACCGCGGCGCCGCAGTCCAGCCGCGGCGTGGAGGTGCAGCGCGGCCCCACCCCCCGGACCATCAGGGAGCGCACGTCCCGGTGCAGCGCGGGGTCCGAGGGGATGGAGCTCAGGTGCTCCATGCTGCCGCTGCACGGGGACTGCGGGTCTGCGCTGAAGTACAGCGTGGAGCTGGACTCGGTGGGGCAGAAGTACGGCTCAGGGCTGTCCCCGAACACGGACTTTCCTTCAGGAGAGCTGCGTTTGTCCGAGGTGGGCGTCTCCATGTCCAGGCTGCTGTCCTCGCCGCCCGTGGACGACGGCAGCTCGCTCACGCTCTGGAACTCATCTTTACAGTCGGAGAGCGGCGCCTTTGTCCTCGGACGCAGAGATGGGCCTGCAGCAACACAACAGATTCATGTTTTATTCCTGCCCTGGGTCCTGCCCTGGGTCCTGCCCTGGGTCCTGCCCTGGGTCCTGCCCTGGGTCCTGCCCTGGGTCCTGCCCTGGGTCCTGCCCTGGGTCCTGCCCTGGGTCCTGCCCTGGGTCCTGTCCTGGGTCCTGTCCTGGGTCCTGCCCTGGGTCCTGCCCTGGGTCCTGCCCTGGGTCCTGCCCTGGGTCCTGTCCTGGGTCCTGCCCTGGGTCCTGCCCTGGGTCCTGCCCTGGGTCCTGTCCTGGGTCCTGCCCTGGGTCCTGTCCTGGGTCCTGCCCTGGGTCCTGCCCTGGGTCCTGTCCTGGGTCCTGCCCTGGGTCCTGCCCTGGGTCCTGCCCTGGGTCCTGCCCTGGGTCCCTGTCCTAGGTCCCTGTCCTGGGTCCCTGTCCTGGGTCCTGTCCTGGGTCCTGTCCTGGGAGGAGACCAGGAGGCCTCGGGAACAGATGAGCCACCTCAACTGGCTCTGCTCCACTTGGAGGAGCAGCGGCACTACTCTGAGCTCCTCTATCTCTCAGGGAGCTCTAATCTGGAGGAAGCTCATGTGGAGCTGTGTCCGTGATCTGACCCAAAGCTCAGGACCAGAGCAGAGGGACAGAGATCCAAACACTATCAAATACATGATAAAAACACATTGGTCCATAAAGAGACCAGTGACCATAAATGTAGATGAAGACCATAAATGTAGATGAAGACCATAAATGTAGATGAAGACCATGAGAGACATTTCACTGTGTCACACAAGCTACAATGCTAACTACCACCGGGCTAACTACCACCGGGCTAACTACCACCGGGCTAACTACCACCGGGCTAACTACCACCGGGCTAACTACCACCGGGCTAACTACCACCGGGCTAACTACCACCGGGCTAACTACCACCGGGCTAACTACCACCGGGCTAACTACCACCGGGCTAACTACCACCGGGCTAACTACCACCGGGCTAACTACCACCGGGCAGCGCACTACGGGCAGAAAAAGCCAGTTAAAGGCAGCTCTGTGCAAACAGCCGGTTAAAAACTCCCAAAAAGCAACCGAAGCCTCGTTTAGAGCTACGCAATTCCTGATGAAGAAAAAGAAGGCATTTACCGACGGGGAGGTAGTCAAAGAAGCAATGATGATAATTGCTAAAATTGTGCTTGAAGACGAGAAGTATGGAACCGATGTACTCTCCAGTCTCTGCCGTGTTCAACTCGGGGCCACTACAATGGTAAGAAGAGTGTCGGCGATGTCTGGACCGTGATCTGGCGAGGTGCCAGTGGTTCAGTATCCAGGGTGATGAGTCGGTGGACAGCAGCAGTACAGCTGATGCTCTTTATCCGGATGGTGTTTGATGAAGAACTTCTGACACTACTGCCCCTGAAGACGACTACGAGGGGAGTTGACATTTATAACGCAGTCAAGGGGTTTTTGGTGGAAAAAAAGGTGGCGCTGGAAAAGCTGGCATCAGTGACCACGGATGGGGCTCCTGCTATGATCGGCCGACACACAGGATTGGTTGCTCACTGTAAAGCTGACCCAGAGTTCCCAAACTTTCTGCAGTACCACTGCATCATACACCAGCAGGCCTTATGTGCAAAAGTGATCGGCTTTGAGCACGTAATGAGTCCTGTCGTGAAGATCATTAACAGCATTCGCTCCAGAGCTAAACAGCACAGAACATTGAAGGTACTTTTGGAGGAGCTGTCAGCTGAATACGGGGACCTGCTACTACACACAGAAATCCAATGGCTCAGCAGGGGACCAAGTTTGCAACGTTTTTTGTCACTTTTGGCTGAAATCAAAGAGTTCATGCAGTCCAGAGGTGAGGACACCGTGCTGCTGGAGGACACTGAGTGGATACTTGACCTTGCATTTTTAACGGACATTACTGGAAAACTGAACAGTTTGAACTGTGCGCTGCAAGGCAAAGGTAAAACTGTCGCCGATATGATAAGTGCTTTAAATGCATTTAAAAGCTAAGATGACCCTTTTCTCGGTGCATTTACAGAGATAAAAAGTGCTGCACTTTCCCTCTGTGCAGATGGTGCTGAAAGACAATGCTTCTGCATCTAAAGCTTTTGACACAGTTGCAGAAAAGTACTCTCAGGTCATAAACAGAGTTGGACAAGAGTTTGAGAACAGGTTTTGTGACCTGGATCAGCTTGAGCCATGTGTGTTGTTCATTTCTAATCCTTTCATGGACGTGGACATATCCTGCATTGCTGAGCAGTGAAGTGCAACATTCAGCCTGGATGCTGAACAGATGGACATTGAAATTGTAACACTGCAAAATGACCTCCCCCTCAAAGCCCACCAGGCTGCACCAAACTTTTGGTGCCTGTTTGACAGAGAAAAGAACAGTGTTGTATGTGCAGCAGCTATGAAGGCTGCGAGCCTTATCTTTGTGAATCAGCCTTTTCTGATATGAACTTCCTCAAGCACAAACACAGAACACGTCAAACTGATGCATATCTGCAAGACTCACTCAGAGTCGCAGTGTCAAGTTACACACCAGAGACATTTGTCTGTTTTATTTGGTTTTTTCTCTACTTTTCATGTTTTATGTCTGTATTTGTCTGTGCACACTGGAGACTTTTGCTAATATATTCCAATGTGGTGTTTTTACTGCAAATGGCAAATAAAATAAACTGAATCTGAGAGTACAACACACTAGTTAACAGCGTGCAATGCCAGGCTTCCCACTAACTGACAAACATAACAGTGGTGTCCAGTTCAAAGTGTGACATGATTTATTTAAACCTTTGACAGTTGACTTTTGTGTTTTACACGAGTTATTATTTGTACAAACATGGTGCAAAGTAATTCATGATTTGTTAAAAATGTTAGTTAGCTGTGTCAGGCTATGTTGTTGGCTAGCTAGTTAAAATGGGGTATTGTGATGTCACAAGACTGTCTTTGTACAAAAGGCCCCTCTGTTTCATTGCATGTATATTACTACTGTTTGTTTACCTGTTGTTCCGTGAGTGTCCATTAGAGGGCGCCTCTACCTTTTACCTGAGTCAGACGTGACGAGAGTGAAAACACCCTTTTCTTGCTACAAATATAAGTGTCAGATGCAGTCTGTTGTTGTGGTCCAAAGTGTGCGTTCATGACTAAAGTAAGTACCTAAGAACTTCTGATGGTTGTAAACCTGTGTTTAAGTGTTTTAGTTCATTCAAGAGCCTTTTATATATATATATATATATATATATATATATATATATATATATATGTGGCCACGTTGCCTGTGTAGCTGCAGGGAGCTAAGCTAGCTGTTCTGTGCAATGTGGAATGTATCTGGGCCAGGCTGTTGGCACTGTTGATAAAGTGCCTATTATTTTAGTATTTTGATGTTCTTTATAACCCTGTTATATTGTGTTTGTATGGAGATGAGCACTTTGTAAATTAGTCTTTATTTGTGTTGCAGATACCACACACACACTCACACAGACAGGCACACACCCAAACCTGTACTCAGACCCTCTGTTCAATACAAAGGCAAAGTATCAACCCGTCTCATCAATGTCTCCCCTCTGCATATCATTTTGGCTCAAGTAGTGTTCTGGCCGACCCTCCAGGACAGTAAGTGCTTCAATACCAAACCAGCACCTTCTATACAGTCCTTACAGTCCACCCCTGAGGTATCTATCCTACAGTCTGAGGTATCTATCCTACAGTCTGAGGTATCTATCCTACAGTCTGAGGTATCTACCCTACAGTCTGAGGTATCTGTCCTACAGTCTGAGGTATCTATCCTACAGTCTGAGGTATCTATCCTACAGTCTGAGGTATCTATCCTACAGTCTGAGGTATCTATCCTACAGTCTGAGGTATCTATCCTACAGTCTGAGGTATCTATCCTACAGTCTGAGGTATCTATCCTACAGTCTGAGGTATCTATCCTACAGTCTGAGGTATCTATCCTACAGCCTGAGGCATCTATCCTACAGTCTGAGGTATCTATCCTACAGTCTGAGGTATCTATCCTACAGTCTGAGGTATCTATCCTACAGTCTGAGGTATCTATCCTACAGTCTGAGGCATCTATCCTACAGTCTGAGGCATCTGTCCTACAGTCTGAGGCATCTGTCCTACAGTCTGAGGCATCTGTCCTACAGTCTGAGGCATCTGTCCTACAGTCTGAGGCATCTATCCTACAGTCTGAGGCATCTATCCTACAGTCTGAGGCATCTGTCCTACAGTCTGAGGTATCTATCCTACAGTCTGAGGTATCTATCCTACAGTCTGAGGCATCTATCCTACAGTCTGAGGTATCTATCCTGCAGTCTGAGGTATCTATCCTACAGTCTGAGGCATCTATCCTACAGTCTGAGGTATCTGTCCTACAGTCTGAGGTATCTATCCTACAGTCTGAGGCATCTATCTGAGGTATCTATCCTACAGTCTGAGGTATCTATCCTACAGCCTGAGGTATCTATCCTACAGCCTGAGGTATCTATCCTACAGCCTGAGGTATCTATCCTACAGCCTGAGGTATCTATCCTACAGTCTGAGGTATCTATCCTACAGTCTGAGGTATCTATCCTACAGTCTGAGGTATCTATCCTACAGTCTGAGGTATCTATCCTACAGTCTGAGGTATCTATCCTACAGTCTGAGGTATCTATCCTACAGTCTGAGGTATCTATCCTACAGTCTGAGGTATCTATCCTACAGTCTGAGGTATCTATCCTACAGTCTGAGGTATCTATCCTACAGTCTGAGGCATCTATCCTACAGTCTGAGGCATCTATCCTACAGTCTGAGGCATCTGTCCTACAGTCTGAGGCATCTATCCTACAGTCTGAGGCATCTATCCTACAGTCTGAGGCATCTATCCTACAGTCTGAGGCATCTATCCTACAGTCTGAGGTATCTATCCTACAGTCTGAGGTATCTATCCTACAGTCTGAGGTATCTATCCTACAGTCGATCTATCTATCCTACAGTCTGAGGTATCTGTCCTACAGTCTGAGGTATCTGTCCTACAGTCTGAGGTATCTGTCCTACAGTCTGAGGTATCTATCCTACAGTCTGAGGTATCTATCCTACATTGGATCTATCCTACAGTCTGAGGTATCTATCCTACAGTCTGAGGTATCTATCCTACAGTCTGAGGTATCTATCCTACAGCCTGAGGTATCTATCCTACAGCCTGAGGTATCTATCCTACAGCCTGAGGTATCTATCCTACAGTCTGAGGTATCTATCCTACAGTCTGAGGTCTCTATCCTACAGCCTGAGGTATCTATCCTACAGCCTGAGGTATCTATCCTACAGCCTGAGGTATCTATCCTACAGTCTGAGGTATCTATCCTACAGTCTGAGGTATCTATCCTACAGTCTGAGGTATCTATCCTACAGTCTGAGGTATCTATCCTACAGTCTGAGGTATCTATCCTACAGTCTGAGGTATCTATCCTACAGTCTGAGGTCTCTATCCTACAGTCTGAGGTCTCTATCCTAAGCTGAGGTATCTATCCTACAGTCTGAGGTATCTATCCTACAGCTGAGGTATCTATCCTACAGTCTGAGGTATCTATCCTACAGTCTGAGGTATCTATCCTACAGTCTGAGGTATCTATCCTACAGTCTGAGGTATCTATACCTACAGTCTGAGGTTCTATCTATCCTACAGTCTGAGGTATCTATCCTACAGTCTGAGGTATCTATCCTACAGTCTGAGGTATCTATCCTACAGTCTGAGGTATCTATCCTACAGTCTGAGGTATCTATCCTACAGTCTGAGGTATCTATCCTACAGTCTGAGGTATCTATCCTACAGTCTGAGGTATCTATCCTACAGTCTGAGGTATCTATCCTACAGTCTGAGGTATCTATCCTACAGTCTGAGGTATCTATCCTACAGTCTGAGGTATCTATCCTACAGTCTGAGGTATCTATCCTACAGTCTGAGGTATCTATCCTACAGTCTGAGGTATCTATCCTACAGTCTGAGGTATCTATCCTACAGTCTGAGGATCTATCCATCTATCCTACAGTCTGAGGTATCTATCCTACAGTCTGAGGTATCTATCCTACAGTCTGAGGTATCTATCCTACAGTCTAGGTATCTATCCTACAGTCTGAGGTATCTATCCTACAGTCTGAGGTATCTATCCTACACTGAGTCTACAGTCTGAGGTATCTATCCTACAGTCTGAGGTATCTATCCTCCTATCTAGCTGAGGTATCTATCCTACAGTCTGAGGTATCTATCCTACAGTCTGAGGTATCTATCCTACAGTCTGAGGTATCTATCCTACAGCCTGAGGTATCTATCCTACAGTCTGAGGTATCTATCCTACAGTCTGAGGTATCTATCCTACAGTCTGAGGTATCTATCCTACAGTCTGAGGTATCTATCCTACAGTCTGAGGTATCTATCCTACAGTCTGAGGTATCTATCCTACAGTCTGAGGTATCTATCCTACAGTCTGAGGTATCTATCTCTGAGATCTATCCTACAGTCTGAGGTATCTATCCTACAGTCTGAGGTATCTATCCTACAGTCTGAGGTATCTATCCTACAGTCTGAGGTATCTATCCTACAGTCTGAGGTATCTATCCTACAGTCTGAGGTATCTATCCTACAGTCTGAGTATCTATCCTACAGTCTGAGGTATCTATCCTACACAATCACGCTGAGGCATCTATCCTACAGTCTGAGGTATCTATCCTACAGCATCTGAGGTCCTATCATCCTACAGTCTGAGGTATCTATCCTACAGTCTGAGGTATCTATCCTACAGTCTGAGGTATCTATCCTACAGTCTGAGGTATCTATCCTACAGTCTGAGGTATCTATCCTACAGTGTCCTACAGTCTGAGGATCCCGCTGGTACTGTCCTACAGTCTGAGGTATCTATCCTACACAGTCTGAGGTATCTATCCTACAGTCTGAGGTATCTATCCTACAGTCTGAGGTATCTATCCTACAGTCTGAGGTATCTATCCTACAGTCTGAGGTATCTATCCTACAGTCTGAGGTATCTATCCTACAGCCTAGTTCTATCCTACAGTCTGAGGTATCTATCCTACAGTCTGAGGTATCTATCCTACACTACGTCTGAGGTATCTATCCTACAGTCTGAGGTATCTATCCTACAGTCTCATCCTACAGTCTGAGGTATCTATCCTACAGTCTGAGGTATCTATCCTACAGTCTGAGGTATCTATCCTACAGTCTGAGGTATCTATCCTACAGTCTGAGGTATCTATGACCTACAGTCTGAGTACTATCTCTGAGGTATCTATCCTACAGTCTGAGGTATCTATCCTACAGTCTGAGGTATCTATCCTACAGTCTGAGGTATCTATCCTACAGTCTGAGGTATCTATCCTACAGTCTGAGGTATCTATCCTACAGTCTGAGGTATCTATCCTACAGTCTGAGGTATCTATCCTACAGTCTGAGGTATCTATCCTACAGTCTGAGGTATCTATCCTACAGTCTGAGGTATCTATCCTACAGTCTGAGTATCTATCTATCCTACAGTCTGAGGTATCTATCCTACAGTCTGAGGTATCTATCCTACAGTCTGAGGTATCTATCCTACAGTCTGAGGTATCTATCCTACACAGTCTGAGGTATCTATCCTACAGTCTGAGGTATCTATCCTACAGTCTGAGGTATCTATCCTACAGTCTGAGGTATCTATCCTACAGTCTGAGGTATCTATCCTACAGTCTGAGGTATCTATCCTACAGTCTGAGGTATCTATCCTACAGTCTGAGGTATCTATCCTACAGTCTGAGGTATCTATCCTACAGTCTGAGGTATCTATCCTACAGTCTGAGGTATCTATCCTACAGTCTGAGGCATCTATCCTACAGTCTGAGGCATCTATCCTACAGTCTGAGGTATCTATCCTACAGTCTGAGGTATCTATCCTACAGTCTGAGGTATCTATCCTACAGTCTGAGGTATCTATCCTACAGTCTGAGGTACTATCTATCCTACAGTCTGAGGTATCTATCCTACAGTCTGAGGTATCTATCCTACAGTCTGAGGTATCTATCCTACAGTCTGAGGTATCTATCCTACAGTCTGAGGTATCTAGGTATCTCACAGTCTGAGGTATCTATCCTACAGTCTGAGGTATCTATCCTACAGTCTGAGGTATCTATCCTACAGTCTGAGGTATCTATCCTACAGTCTGAGGTATCTATCCTACAGTCTGAGGTATCTATCCTACAGTCTGAGGTATCTATCCTACAGTCTGAGGTATCTACCCTACAGTCTGAGGTATCTATCCTACAGTCTGAGGTATCTATCCTACAGTCTGAGGTATCTGTCCTACAGTCTGAAGTATCTATCCTACAGTCTGAGGTATCTATCCTACAGTCTGAAGTATCTATCCTACAGTCTGAGGTATCTATCCTACAGTCTGAGAAGTGATCGTTTGGAAATGTTACACTTGAAAAATGTGTTGCATATTGATATTTATCTGTTTCTTTATATATTTATTGTGAGAAATCATTAAGATGATCAGTGTTTCCACAAAGATAAATATCATTAATTATTAATAATAACATAGAGTTAAAGGTAAATTGAGCAAATTGGTTATTTCTGGCAATTTATGTAAATGTGCAACAAACTGGTCGCCCTTCGCATTAATCAGTGCCTGAGAAGTAGCTCTTGGTTTCAAAAAGGTTGGTGACCCATGGTCCAGAATTTACACATGGTAAGACCAGACGTACATGTAGGAGATGATCATGGACCAGAGTTTACACATGGTAAGACCAGACGCACATGTAGGAGATGATCATGGACCAGAGTTTACACATGGTAAGACCAGACGTACATGTAGGAGATGATCATGGACCAGAGTTTACACATGGTAAGATCAGACGTACATGTAGGAGATGATCATGGACCAGAGTTCACACATGGTAAGACCAGACGTACATGTAGGAGATGATCATGGGCCAGAGTTTACACATGGTAAGACCAGACGTACATGTAGGATATGATCATGGACCAGAGTTTACACATGGTAAGACCAGACGTACATGTAGGAAATGATCATGGACCAGAGTTTACACATGGTAAGACCAGACGTACATGTAGGAGATGACCATGGACCAGAGTTTACACATGGTAAGACCAGACGTACATGTAGGAGATGATCATGGACCAGAGTTTACACATGGTAAGACCAGACGTACATGTAGGAGATGTAAGTAAGTAAGTAAGTAAGTAAGTAATTATTTATATACCACCTTTTCACTGCAGATCTGAGTCTCAAAGCGGTTTACAATTGTTATTTTTGGGCACTTGTCTCTCACTCCACACAGAGATGGGAGCAGGGTCGCCAGTACAGGAGGCGCATGCTAGAACTATTGGACATATTTTTAGTGGTAGGGGAAACCGGAGTACCCGGAGGAAACCTACGCAGACACGGGGAGAACATGCAAACTCCACTCAGAAAGGCCCTGGTCCGACCGGGATTCGAACCCAGGACCTTCTTGCTGAGAGGCGAGAGTGCTATCCACTCAGCCACCGTGCCGCTAAAACCATGGACCAGAGTTTACACATGGTAAGACC